GACCCCGACTGGGCGTGACTGGAAGGATCGTACAAGCTGCAGATTATGTGACCTTCTTGACGATTTATTTTCCGGTCTGCGTGCTGGGTCTGTACGGGTATCTATTAAGTCTTGGCTAGTACGGGATTGTTGTCTTTGTAGTCGAGGATATTGGACTCTTTTGTGCGTTGCCGTTCATACGATATCTCGTTCAAGAAAGTTGAAGCTGGAAGAATAGAGTTTGATGGCTAGAGGTCCTATGGTAAGTCAAACTGAAGGATTTTAGTGAGTCCTTTCTTCCTCCTTTCTCCGATGTTTTGCGGCGTTGTGTGCTTACTGGAATTGACCATTCCCAATGGGTAGGGGATGAAAATGTTGTAAATCTTTGAACTCGATTGTATGTTTGATCGAAGCGATTGTCCCGAGTATAGACACCATGATGACTGGGGATTTGATGTGAGTCAATCTTTTATCTCCTTATTGTAGGTCGGATCTAACTTGGTAGCAGATCCTGATGTTTATTACATATATCTTAGATACCTAGCCCGAGGACTGAATTCGATATCGCAACTGTACGCGCTTGAAGTATTATTTCCACGCTATTAATATCGACAAGGAGCTGGTATGACTAAGGGACGGTAGAGGCGGAATGAGTGTGGTTTTGGGTATGAGCGCTCCCCTTTATCTACTTGGGCTTTGTTAAGCGCACTGGTATTAGTGTGCGCAAGTAAGGCGACATGCGTAGTAGTACGCCGCATCGTTTATTCTAGAACGAGTGGTGATTGTCGATTTATTGACCTGGAGCTGGAACCCTCCCGTGAGTGGTGGGTAGACGGTGACCCTTTCGTCCATGACATATCCGAAATGATTGTAGCGTCAAGAGAACGCTCTAATACTGGCACAGTGTTTGAGCCCAGTTCGACACTGACTGCCATGCCCATTGCACATGTTGTTCCTGAGCAGGCCACTCGGCTATCCAGAGAAACCTTGGTGAATGATAGACGATCTTGGCAGAGTGATGATTTGGCGGTTAGAGGGCAGAGTGTTAATCATAAAAAGTGGGTTCGGTAGAAACTTGACGAAGGCGGCATCTAGGGCCTTGAATAGCCGGGCGGTGAATGGGAACCTCTCAATGTGCAGAGGTTTTCTTTGCAAGTCACCCATGCTAAACGACACGATGATCAGCATTCATCTTTCTGTTTCGTAGCCATTCTACTTCAATTAACAACTTTCCTAAAGCAAAAAGACCAAGCCGTTTCACGCGGCCCATCTTTCGGAACGCGAGATTGCGGAGACCCGACCAGCACAATATATATATAAGGAAAATATTCCGTCCATGAATACCAACTAGTCAGAGCTACAATTTGTACATCAACATTCGGTCCCTCGAATTCAGTCTCTCGAATTTCCACTCCAGCAAAGTCTCGGTTTTACGTAGTACAGTGTCGAGATGATCAAGGGACTTTTTGTTTTCCCATTTCCAAACGTCGATGCCAGGTTCGCCATACTGGTCAGTGTACGAGCAGCATCTTCCGAGGCTGTACTAAGACCATCTTTTGTTTGATTTGTTAGCAACTTAGTGAACTAGGAAGCTGTCCAGCCTGGACTCGATACCACAGCTTATCTCGACAAGTGTAGAGCTAGCCACTCAAAGTCAGTCATTAAGTCGCAAAGAGACTATTCTTCTAGGAATGCGATTTATAATATGGGATATCGGACGCTGAGCGGGGGACTATATGCTCATTCAAGTTGCATTAAGGGAGAGGAACAAATATTGATATATGATCTCGCGGTGGAACGAATCGCGAGGAGGTCCATTGTCGGAGAAGGGAGCCGGTAAATGGTTACTCAGGATGCACCGTAGCCATTTACCCCTTTTAACGTGGTAGAGAGAGACATGCTGGAGTCGATTTCAATTGGTTGCCACAATTACGGATGATTTACGGTCCGATATCATGGCACTGACTGCTGTGTAAAGTTAGGATGTGGTGTTGTAAGCGATGCGGCATGCGCAGGCGTCCGAGGTGCCTTGATGCCCCACAAATTGGTGACTCCCTGCTGCTTGACGAACGGCCGTCTGAAATGCTTCATCATGCCACAGGCAAATCCTATCTCGACAATCATTCGCCTCAATGCGTGTGGAAGGAGTGCAGCCCTTCAATTTTTTGCACGCGGAAACTTGACTCGTGTGGTATGAGAGTTAGAGTCCCAATTAGATCTCGCCATATTGCTTTTTGGGCCCATAGGCTACCTCCAAGCCCGAAACCGCCCATACATAGATATAAATACAAGATTTGTATACAATAAAATGATATTGACTCTTAGATCCACGATGTATTCTATCTTTGTTTGTACAGAAGATGCCCGCGGTCAACTTACTTAGAATGAATTTAGTCCGCCTTGGATGTTTTAGCTGCTCGGGTTGAACAGTCGTGCAGTTGTCTTGTTGCGCGGAAGCCCGTGTGCAGAAGAGGTGTCTTTAGACTTCTCGTTTGTCACTTGCATGCTTCTGGTTGGTGTCAAACGCTCAAGCACAGTTGTGCAGATGGCTAGTAAAATGAGACCTGTCAAGATACCTGAATTGGATTCGACTGGCTTTAACGACTCATTCAAATCACGTCCTGGCGGTTGACCGAGAAGATACATTATTGTGAAAAACTGAGCAACGAGCGAAACGGGCTCCAGCATCGTCCCGATGAGCAGCTATCTCGCCTGTATTCTTTTGAACAGGCTTTGGGGCAGACTCAAGAGCGACTAATTGGCGTTCTCAAGGACTGGAATCAATGCTCGAAAAGTGATCTGACTGCGATGATGGATATTAAAATGCGCAGGTGAGGATTTGCCAAAGGAAGGGTGCCATGTCGTACACGACAGTTAACGGATATATCGATCAAAGTCAGAAATCATGAAAAAGAAAAATGTGCTATTCAAATATGGTTTCAACTTTTTGACTATCTCATGGAAGATTGTGTAAAGTAGACTTTGAATACGTGTTACTATTGAAAAGCCCGAGAGAAGCCACCAAGTACTATGAATGTAGTCACGCTGCAATCACCTATAATTCATCGGAGATTACACAAAATGATGGATCCAGAGATGGCATCATGGGTAGTGTTGCTAGCGGGGAGAGGGTCGAGTGACCGGAATACGGCAGAAGTTCCATTCGCGGCCACAAAGACAATCGGAAACATGGGGATGTGGCTCCAAAAGTAGTTTGGGAGACCATGTCCAGCATCTGCTCACACATCCGATGCAAGCTTCCCATCATGGTTTCAATCCTTGGCAGGAAGAACAGATGCCCTCCTACCGTTTCGCCGGTTGATTGATCAAAACGTGAGAGTCGGAACTCTACCCAGTACACCTCCTCGGAAGGAAAATATGCTGAAATGTAAAGGAAGAGGTCATCGGCTAGAGTAGAAATGGAGAGCGGATGCGGACCGGTCCACTTGAAGCCCGACTGGTCCTTGTAATTGCCGTGGAAGCAGCATTCGACCGAGAGCAGTCCTTGAGCCTCCTGTGCCCCATGGTCTGCTACATTTGGAAAATCCAGCCTAACATCTTCGTTATCTGCAGAAAGAGCTGGAATCGGCGCCGATATAGGAGAAGACTCTCGCCGGATTTTGTGAATGCTGAGATCGAAGTAGTTATCTTATCTGCTGTGAGCACAGAACGACCGTAAAATCAAGTGGTACGAACCACTCTGACCAAATTCCGACATCTCGTCCGACTGGATGCCCACGCTGCTGTAGGGAGGTGACAAAAGTGTCTGAACTGGCGGTACAAGGCTAATTGGAGGTTTAGATATACTGCCGGATGCCGATAATGATACCATGGCAGCCGGATGCTATACCGTATGATTTGCGCAATTTGAATTGTAAAGAGACGAGTTGGGATATTGGGGGTGTATCCAAGATACTTAGTTTTGTTCGCCTGATATAGGGAAGAATCTGATCTTGAGCTTTGTTCATCTCAAAATTCAAGGTTGTTAAAACTTAGCTTCGGGCCCAGGGCTGAGAAGTCCTGGAAACTTGAGCGGGTGTCCATCAAATGATAGCTCTCCTCGGAAACCCGGATCGTAGTCGGGGCTCGTCTCGTCGAGAGTAGCAACATAACGATTTCGACCGCCCCGTCTCGCATGTGTCTTCGTGCAATGTGCCTTGAGGTTGTCACGGCGTGAGAATGCCCGGTGGCATCCAGGAACCCAACAGACATGGGGCTTTTGTTTTGAGTGGCTTTTTATATGGCGCCCGAGGTGGCCCTGACGTTTGAAACCTCTTCCGCAGCCAATAAGGGTGCATGGGGGCCATGGTTATCCATCAACAAAACCCTCGGTCGGCCTTTAGCGACACGTTCTTTTGGTGTACGATGGAAATCCAGTAGCCATTGTATTCCAGTTTCACCATCTGTCTAGCCGGCTTAATGACTCGGTAGTTGGCAGGATTATTATCGCCGTCGCACCAGTCTTCCATTGCTCAACACCGCGTATTAAAAACCATGGATGCATATACCAACCGTCGGCGGAAACGCACTCAATTCCGGTGCTATTTTGACCAATTCCGCCGGTCGCGATAGTCTCTTTTTTGCGGCTTGAAACAACTCTTTCCTTCTGTCCAACGCCTAGCTGAAAGCCAATTTCATCCCAGTTGTATAGCTTGTGAGCCTGGATATTGTGGGTTCGAAAAAATCCCCCGAAAACCTCGTACCAATGAATTAATAAACTGGTTGATTCGACTTCGATTCGCGCTTTTTCCATAGGTTTTTGCGTACAGTAGTAGTAGTAGTAGTAGAATTCATTTACCCTATCCCCTCGCGAGTTGGATTCTAAACCACAACCCACTAGGCTGGGTACGGATTTGTATTCTAGTCTAGTTGGGAAAACAACTTCGACGAGGGGTCAGCGTAAATAAACCACACACACACACACACACACACACACATACACATACACATATTGTATGGGAAATCATTGCCGATATCGTATCGTTGACAGCTCAACCGGTGGCAACGACCATCAACGACCATCAACGACCATCAACGACACAGCCTTCCTTAGTATACCTCCCACCACTTCCGGAAGAAGAGTTATCAACAACCCCCGAAAGAATCTCCGCCTCCTCGAATCTAACATTAATTTCTTCACACTTCAGTCTCCTTGTCTCGACGAACGTAAAGTATGCAATGAATAGAAAGACAAAGTCCCGGGCAGCATTGGTGAAGTAGAATTTCCATCCTAGGTCTGCCATGGCATAAGCCATGACAAAAGAAGCGAGGAGAGTGTAGACATGTAAAATTAATAGCTTTTTTTCTCAATTTGGTGTAGATGCGAGTGAGGGACATACCCAAACCCGGAACCCAGCATTCAGAAGATAGCGATACCAGCCGTACGGAGCTTGTATTCTGATATTTCCGTTGGGTATAGGCTTGCCATTGGGGTAACGGAGAATGCGTAGAAGCCTTGAAAGAGGAAGATAATGGCAAGTAGATCCCGGAGGTGATGGTGCTTGATCCGTAGCCTTAATAATTAATATCAGTTTTTGGTACGCGTAGAACTACAGGAAAGAGGGAAATACGTTTGATAAGGCCTCCGATCAACAGCAGTGTGGCAACCATCCCGCTCACACCGATAAAAACATGTATCCTGCGACCAAGAATGTCCAACATAAAACTACCCACGATTGCGACGACAAAAGACCAACAGTTGATGATGACCTGGACTTGAGTCTGGGTGACTGAGTCCGTGATGCCGGCCTGGCTAAGGATCTTCGTCAAGTAGAATCTATATATTGTTACAAACAACGTATGTGACTTGTTTAGATTGAAACACTCATTAGATGATGAAATTGCCAAACATGTTGATCATCGGATCAAAAGTGCACAGGATAGCCAGTCTCCGCCTATTGCCTCTTGTCGAAATAATCTCCCTCCTGGGGTTACGCGGATATTCTTCCGCCTCGCGAACGAGGGTATCTCTGATCTCGCGAAGTTGTTGGCTACCCTTCTGCACGTCCGTATTGTTCTTGCCTTGCATGATAATCAGAATATCAAGCACCTCGTCGCTCCGCTGGTGCGTGATCAACCAACGAGGGGACTCAGGAACGAAAGGCACGATAATAATGGCCAGTAGACTAGGGACAACCTGAAGGAGCGAAGGCAACCGCCAGGCCCATGTGCTGTTGATGTTCTGACTTCCGTAGTTCACAAGAGACGAGGCTAAGCTTCCGACGTAGTAGCATGAGAAGAAGAGACCGAGGATACGAGCACGTCGTCTAGGCGGTAGGAGCTCGCCGAGCCAGGTTGGGGCAGCACCGTTGCTGATGGCAGAGCCGATTCCGACAACGATCCGGGCGATTACGAACATGCCGATATTCTGCGAGGCGCCCTGTAAGATTATGCCAATAATAGTAACAATCGAGGCGATAAGAATTGCACGACGACGACCTAAATAATCAGGAATGGATTGCATGAGAAAGGCACCGAAGATGCCTCCCATCCACATTGCTGCGTTGTTGAGACCCTCAGCTGCAGAGGTGAGGTGGAAATATTCAGAGTAGGATGGTAGGATGAGCAGGCCGTTCATGACGGACGAGTCGTATCCTAAAGTCTGGTAGAGGTCAGCACCACCCAATTTTCCCAGTTGCATATATCAATCGAAACCTACTGCCGAGTTGACGATGGTCACGGCAAGAAGCAGGGGCATGAGCACCCTGTGGCCCACCGGGACCAATCGCGAGAGATGTTTACGCTCAAGCTGGGCCATGGTTTTGTTCTGGAGTTCTTTAACAGAGCGGGCAGTGTCCATCATGCCACAAGGTAAGTGGCTGCCGTCTGTCTTATATTGACGAGTTTGTTCATGGTTATTTGGCTTATCATTCTGCAGCTCCTGGATTTCATGATAATTTGGGAACCTTACCAGGCTTATGATTCATGCCCACTATTCGGGACTAATATCAAATGAACTAAAACTACCCAACTCGGGCCAGTTCGGGTGAGCCGACCAGTAGACAAGACAACGTTATGATAGCTTTTATGTAAACCAGCCGTTCCTAGCGGGCGAGCTCGTGTGAGTCCATCTAAACAAACCTGCATGAACTTTGCAGTACGTCGGCCCAGTCCGCACCGACGAAAAAGGTATTTAAAGTTCCTGGGCAGAAATTCGGATAGAGGCACTTATCGGGCAATGCCTATTTATTTTAACCAGATTCACATTTTACTCTGACAAAGAGGCAAATCATTCCAACCATCCTAGGATCTATCGGGCAAATATTTGCAATGCCGGCCCCAATCAGACAGTGGCCTGCCTTGGCCGAGTACATCTACGCTGGCGCGAAGGCAGCCGCAGATCCTGAGTTCCTGGCGGTCAAGGAAGCTATAATTGAAGACTGGGGCGCTGAAGCTCTTCGTAAAAGTTGGGCCAAGGTGTGCAAGGACCTACAAAAAATTACCGACGAGATAGCGGAGAAGGACAATACTATTATACCTGTGTTTGACAGTACACAGATCATCGAGAAAGGCTTTACTAATGCCCGACGGGATGAAATGAAGCGTATCGGCACGTTCGTCTGCAGAGAGTCTTTTCTGGAAGAGGACACAAACAAACTCTACAACGACCTCAAGCATTTTCTCGCCGACAACGAAGGGTCCATCAAAGGCTGGCCTAAGGAGAGCCCATCCATGCTCCTCCTGTACAATTCGCCATCCCAGAACGCCCTCCGTTCGCACCCCAACTATCTCGAGCTGCAGCATAAGCTGAATGAGCTGTGGCACGACTGAACAGGCGAGACCACCTCCGATTCTCTCGTCTACCTGGACGGCGTTCGCGACCGCGCTCCAGGACAACCATTCCCCGGATTGGGCGCTCATGTGGACGCCGGCAGCCTCTGTCGCTGGGCCGACCCGAGATACCGGAAAGTGTACGAGAGCATTTTCTCAGGAGAGCCAGAAAGCTTTGATCCATATGACCTGAGTGTGGGCAAAGAAGCCAATCAGGCCTTATACGAGGGCATGGCACACTCAAAGGTGCTACGTACCTTCCAAGGCTGGACTTCTCTAACACCTAAGGCTCCGCGGGAAAGCACCATTATGTTATATCCAAATGTCAAAAACGTCATAGCTTATATACTGTTGCGACCAATCTTCAGACCGCCGGTGGGCCAGGAGGCGGACATTATGGATGCTGAAAAGTGGACGATTGATGACTCAACAGGCTGGTTTCCGGGAACTTTCAAAGCAGAGAGCCAGCGCCTCAGCCGGTCTTCGCATCCTCATCTCAGGTTGGAGGAGTGTTTAGTGGTCGCTCCGCCAGTTAAGGCAGGAAACACCATTTGGTGGCACTGTGATGTAAGTTTCTTTGTTTACTGCATGACTGCTTTTTATGTCTTGTCGGACAGGTCCGCTAATCCAGGGGTTCTCGCTCCACCTTAGGTCTGTCATGCTGTGGACACGGAACACCTAGGGAAGAATAACGCGTCCGTGGCCTTCATAGCCTCATGTCCGACGACGCAGGTCAATAAAGACTACATCAAAAAGCAGCTCATCTGCACACTTGAGGGTCGCCCGGCCCCAGACTATTCGGAAGGTAATGACCTTGAGGAAACCAAGTTGAACGGATATGTCGGGTTAGACGGACTTGGTACAGATGTCCGCAGAGCATTTGGGTTTGGGTTGCTAGAAAGGTCGCAATATCCGAGGGAGCAGCCGGTGAAAATATTGGAAAATCAAATCGTGTTTATAAACAAATCACTGTTATTGAGTTTATCTCGAAGTATCTTAGCTGCGTACTTTGCAACGGCATTCCACTGTTGCACCTCCTCTAGCAGGCCGAGGGCACTGTGGACCGCTTCGTAATATTCCTCCGCGTCGGTCACTCCGTGAGTTTGACATTCACGCAGAAGAAGAATAGCAGAGACAAAGATATGGTGGGATAGGGCCCTGCACTCGTGAGTACTCATTTGGAGAAAACATGTGACGGGAAGTAAATACCATTGTTTTCGCATCGAGGCCGGTTGGTCTCAATTGCGGCTAATCCAAATAACGCTCATTGCTGAGCTTACGCTCACGGATCTTGCCCAATTATACCGATCAGGGTACAACAACCACTGTGCTTACATTGTATAATGGATACGGAGGCGCAGGTGGAGAAGGACCAATGTGAGGTCGTAGCGCTGCCACCTGATCCAAGGGTGCGCAAGCTCGAGCTGTTGCAACTTTTCATCTTTGAGATCGGTTTCCGGCTGAAGAAGGCGGGGGAGGCCGTCAATCACTTCTACCAACTGCTCATCGACCGTTTTGACGGCCTCTACTGTCTCATCAAGGGATCCGGAACCTGACCTAATGGTGGCACGGAAGCGATAAACGGCGGCTGCCGTCCTTGCCATAAAAGTGTGATAGTATATATGGTGATGGACAGGATCATCTTCCCCGGGTTCTGGTGAGGTGGCTGACGGATGGGGCAAGTCAAAGTCAATATCGTCAACTTCTGGAGGCCGATATGGTAGAGCTAACCTAGTCATCGCGTGTCAGTAACATCAGCCCAAATCAATTAACCGACATTTGATGTCATGAATAACCGATTACCATTCACAAATAACCAGCGTCCACCATAATCGGTGTTGGCCTTTTGCGCTCAAACATGAAGCAGCTGCATTTGAATAAGGGGTGTTCCTATTCTCCGCGCTATTCGTAGGGCAGAGCTCCACATATGCTGACCAACTTCCACGTCTCCCCAGTTGAAGCACATTCCAAGAATCGCTATGGCTTGAACTGTGTGAATGCGAGGAACCTTCATGAAATCTGCGCGATATAATGAAAATATAGCAGCATCGTACCACATACGAGACGTTCTCTGGCGGTCGAAACCTACCCACTATCAGTTTGAACACGAACTGAACGCTCATACAAACGAAGTCTCACCTTCTGAGAGCAGTGACTTGTCCACTTCATCATCGCTCATCATGAGAATTGCTGCCTGTCATGAGCACTCAGTTTTCAGTCATAACCTCAACACCGGTAGATATAGGGTAACTACACTAAGAACACTAAAGTGAACCGCCATCCATGACGGATCGGCATTCTCGAGCGCCAGCCCCCTGTCCACGGCGATGATGAAGGTAGTGCACTCTTCCCAGAACCCGGGATATTCAACGGCGCAGTGTACCCATGAGCTCCACGTCTTGTCATATGCAATGAGCTGTTCGCTACATGCAGTGCACGGTAATAAGACATCATCCCAGGTGGAGACACTGGACCCCGCGGTTGTCGAAGCAGCAGAAAGGCTCTCCCATAATCTCTGCCGCATATCCACCAGAGCAGAGATTATCCTTAACTGCAAAGCAATTGTTTTGTTTTGAGTGCAGATGCCATAGCCGTCGACCAAAAGTGTGGACCAACCGAATGTTACGTGTGTTAGATGCTCGCCTAGATCAACCCAAAAATTTCACGGTTCAATTGAAAACTCATGGTTCGGCTCTTTTGGTACGTCCATTGCCAAGCGGCATATTCTATAGCGTTGGTGTGGCCCTGTGTCCCGACGAGGCCTCAGAAACCAGAAGAGACAGCCTAAAGGGGCAAGTATAGCGATCAACCCCTAGATACACCTAGACTAGCCAGAGTCGCAAAAGTCAGTTTTTGGGATCATCTTAAGACAATAATCCGGTTCAATTAGGCTATAGCTTTTACATACCTCCAGTAACGACCATAAAGCTCACTGATAAAGAAAGTTAGTACTCATACATAGCATATTATCACTTATGTTCTCTTGTAACTTTCGCATAGTTCACATGGAAGTGGCCACCCGAAAGCTCTTATTCTATTATAACAGAGTCACCTAACTCGTTACTCTTCTCGCAGGCTCTGTAACTAAGGATCAGTTTAATTTGAATCTACACTGAGAACTCTTTTATGACAATCTTCAACCCAATCAAGATCTCTGCTATCTCCTTTTCAAGACATATTATCTTCATTAACAGGCACCTCTAGGAAGGGGGCAGCTGATCGTCATATGCGTTCCAGTTCAGAAGAGGCGGCAGATGGATCTGGGAGGAATTTTGATTAGCTGGGAAATAAGTCTTGGATTTGATGTTTAAGCTGCCACTTCAGCCTTTGAAAACAAGAAAATAAATTTTTGAGGTATCTCCACATTTTCCACTTTAGGTATATAGAAGACTGAAAGAATGGTAGTTGTAGGAAATCGGTTAAATTGTTAAGTAATATTATCTTCGAATAATCATGCGGAACGGGATTGAAGAGCATAAGTCCGGTCAAACAGTCTCAGCCCTGTCGCCATTGAAAAGCATGGGTAGTGGTCTCTAAGAGTGAGCGAGAGTTACTACTCCAACATCTGTTGCTATGTAGCAATATTTAGAACAGAAATGTTTCATATCTACACTACCACCTTTTGGATAGATCGCAGTCAATAACGTCACCTCCAACTTCAACGGACTCTACTTGATGTATAGCATTCAATGCATTAAAGCTACACATGTGAACCAGTGAACACAAGTCTTTGTTTCCAGGCCTCATCTGCTGCTCATTTCCTCATCAAATCAAGCAACTTGCAGTGAGCATCAGCTGAGATCGAGCGTCAACAATTGAGGTAACCATTCACTGACTCTTTTAAAGGTGGTCGAACTCAGGCTAGATTTTCATAGGTGGCAATGACAACAGCCTCAGTATGACTGCTGGGCTATAAAAGACTCTTCTGTATAATGTCTCTTGTATTCCATTCCCCAAAGGTCATAATGGACTATCCTACTTTGCCTTCCATATATGACTAGCTGGCTAAGAGACAGTACTAGGTTTCCCACGACCCTGAAGATAAGAACAAGTTACAAAACCATCCACAGCAATCTACAAACAGCACAATTATTAAATCCAAGGTTGGTCATATTCTCTTCAATAACAAATATACAAGATTACTAACACTATATAAGTTCTAGTTCACACATCTAGTTTATTTATGACAGAGTTTATAAAACTTATAAACTATAACGACGCCCTAGTTATACTAGCTCTCAAATTACTCAACCCCTACTTCTACCTATGAGAATATTATATCCTTAAATCTGCTAAAAAGATATATCTTAAGGAAAAGAAAGGATAGCTTTAAGAGTTAAATAAGTAGCTAATAAATAATAATAAGATTTCTTCTATAGCTTTATAATGAGCAAGTATTAATATTATGAGACTAAAAGTAAGCAGTTTAAGCCCTTTGTAATAGTATGGTTTTATTATTATAAGTAAGTAATACCTAAGCCTATTATGTTGATAGGCCTTGATGAAGTCTAAGTGTTGTTTAGCACTCATTGGTGACAATGATACCTGCACAGCTCTGCTATCTATTTACTGTCTGTCCTAAATATCATCCCTCTTTTAACAGCCCAAACAACCACTGGTGAAGTTCCATTAGGTTTGATGACAGTGTGTCAATGTTTCATGGCTGTTGATAGACCATGCGTTTGGTTTTCAACAAATTAGCATCTGGCTGTTAAGTTCTCCTAATTTTCCATAAACCTATGTGATTAATATGAATAAATAATCAGCCTACTATGCAGCATTCTATTGCTCCTAGCCCTTGTCAAATTATTGCTTTCTATCTACACTTCTATATTTTCCTACCCATCTTTGACAGTGAGCTTTAAACTAAAGTACATAAATCAAACAAGTATGACCTGTATCTATTATTTCATTATGATTTTGTACTAATATTAGCAGACTGTTATTTAGATCTTAACCTTCATGCCATCTGGTAAGAGTCTTCTAGTATACCAACACCACCTCCCTGTCTTATTACTAACTCTAACAATTCTTGGTAGATTCTGGTGGATATGGATAGCCTGTAGGATATGAGGTTTTAAGATCTTTCTTGATCAAATACCTATTTTATCTTATCTATAACAAGCTATTAGCTTTTAAATGGATTAGTCTAGACCCTCTGTTTATATCTACTTAGACTAGTAACTTGTTCCTCTATATATCAGCTTTCACTTTCTTAAATGAAGTGTACTGGGTAGAGTTCCAACTAGTCTGTTTTAACTGGAAATCTGGTGAGAGTACAGGAGAGTATATATTCTTCCTATCTCAAGTTAAAACAATAATATAGAACCTCTATTAGGTATATAAATAGTTGCTAGATATGATCTCATGGTATTTTATTTGGTGCAATAGGCACTAGATTCTACCTATCCCTTTTACTTTATATGGAATCCCTACTACATCCTACTCACTTGATATTCTCTTTGCTAGCTGTGTTACCCACGAGGGTATCCTTTGATCTGAGAGTTTTTGTGCATAACATACTGGGTAACTATAAGTGAGATTGTTCTGTAACATGCGTTATTTGCAGAGACAAGGAATACAATCTACTATTCATGTTGTATTTATTCTTCAGTTGCCATTGTGGTATTTCTGCTTCTACTTTATGTGATGGATAACACCAAATAGCTAGTCCCTCACTTTCCTCTTATGTTAATCAAGAATCCTGCTAGATTGAATCTTGAAGGTTGATTCCAGTCATCAAGTACACTAAACAATCATTCCCAAGATGATTTCAAAGCCTGCTTAAAAAAACATAGTTAATATGTCTACTTATTATAGCAAATCTAAAGACTATCTCTCTCTTTTCTTAGATATATATTATCCTCCTTTAAAATAAGATTATTTTGTTCTAGCTTCTTACTATCGATATGTTTAGATATATATAACTCTTATAGGCGTCAATTAAATCTAATAAATCGAGTTACTAGAATAATAAACTTAGGATCGTCGCACTTAAGATCTACTAGAATCTTTAAGATTGGTTAAAATAACTCCGTCGTCAGGGTATATCTAGTTCCTACTTCCTATTACAAAAGGGAGGACTACAATAGTTAGTAAAAGCGTTTAATGCTGAATTATCTTATTTACTAATGGGATATGGTCAGAATTTTCCTATGATTTATCTTTCTCACCAAGGATAGATAATACCCTGGGCAGCTGATCTACTTCATTCTCCTGGCCTATTAAGCTGTTTTAGGACTCCATTTTGCCTGTAAGAGAAATTCATGGGTCTGGATAATACCACTTCTATCAATCCTTTATGTTTTATAGATTGCGCAGACGCAGGCGACTATATAGTGGATTCTACAGTCAAATTTTGATAAAAGTTTTGTTAGTTTTCGGCGGACTCTCGACAGTATATTGAACAATAGGGATAGTCGGTCGGGGAAACTGATCAAGCCTCACGGTGTTGAGGGCCAGAGATGAACGCTTTTGCAGCTATATATTTCAATCAGAAACCTCTTTCTCTTTCGTCGAACGCCTCAGAAATCCGACAAATCGAATATTGTAGGAC